AACTACCTCTTCCTCAATACAGGACTTTCGTGAACAGAATGACTATACTTCCCTTTTCATTTTTTTTTATCTGTTTAGAACAACATTACTTTTTATTTTAAAATCCCCCTCCATGATTAAAGTCAAAGTAATTAAACTATTTCTCTAAAGATTTTCTCTGTGGCTGCTGTAGTGTTACATAAACTCCCTTGCATCACTGCTCACGTCTAGACTGCCACCGGGTCTGCTCTCACCCCCACTCCCTTTATATGTATCTCAGCAACTCAGGGGCCTCCTTGTTCAATTATTTATTATTCCATTTGAGAATCAGACAGGGAAGCATAAATTTAGAATGGGCTAGATGAGGAAGAAGGTAACCTCTAGAACTATGAAAAGCATTTTCCAATAATCGATATGGTAATAGTTGGTAACTAGACAAAGACAGCAAGTTTGCCCCTTTTAAGAAATTACAAGATTATTTAGCAGGGCCATTAAATAAATGAAAGGAAGAGGTAACTAAGAATAGTCCCATTACAACCCTGTGATACTCCTGGAAGAGGTAGTGTTTAAGGCAGGCATATGAAGAGAATCAGCAATCTTAAGTGAAAGAATTCACCAGCTGTAATTATAGTTGATTCGCCCCCATTCCAACTAAGAGTAGGAAATAAAAAGAATAAATAATGTCAGAAGAAACTGCAGGTAACCTAGGAGCAGCTTTGTTCCAAATCTTATAATGCTTAGGATTGTCTTAAATTAGAATCTATTTCAAATAAAATTTAAATTTCTACTTGGATAGATGAAGACATATATACCTTATATTTAGGAAGGGTCTGACTCAACATGATCAAAATGTAAATTCTCCCCAAATAACTGTAAATAAAAATAGCAACAGTAGTTTTTTTTGAAATTAGATAAGCTGATTCTAAAGATTACATGTCAACAAAGAAAACATGTCAAGATAGCCAGGAAATTCTGTAGAAGAAGATTAATGGAAGAGGTGAGGAAGGTCAATCCATAAAAAATAATTAAATATATTATAAAACTACCATAATGAAAACAGATTGGGAGTGGCACATTACAGACACATCAATGGAATAGAGTAAAGAATACAATATATACTTAATATTGTTAAGTGATAGAAACTTGCCTCCTCTTGTGTCCAAGAACAAGTCCAGTCGTGGTATTTCACAGAACCAGAGCAGGATGGGGGAGTGTCTCATTTAAAACAGCAAGCGGACAGCGAAGTCAGATAAACAAAGCTAAGAACCCATGGAGAACTCCAATCTGAGAACTATGACAGGGAATTTTGGGTGGATGAGAGAGACAGAGATAGAGAGGTACCAAACCAAAATGATACAGAAACAGGTAACAAAGTAGAGTTAGATGCTAAGATAGAAGGAACTGCAAATATGAGAGCAGTAATAAGTTTAAAGTATCTTATCCTGGATGACTTTGAGTGTGTAAGTGACAATGCGCTTTGGAGAAACCCCAGTCAGGGTTCTGAAATCGTAGCAGCTGGGTGAAGTTGGGTAGGTAACTTATCTATGAGTCTTAATTTTCTTGCCTGTAAATATGATGAATTAAAGTCACTTCATATAGTTGTCTTTTGGAATGACATAACGTAAGAAAACACATGACAAGTCACTCTTCTCATGAGCCATAATGGCAATACTGGTATAAGTATTAACATTGGGTGGTCTTATTTATAATTCTATTAATTGGGAATGATAGTTGGGTGTGCCAGCCAAGTTTAAAGAAGCAGAGAAAGAATGGATTCTTGGCATGGAGATGAAAAGATTCAGGGGTTTTCTGAGTGATTCCAATACTGCATTACATAGAGGGCAGATAGTAAAGAGATCATGCGTAGATCATTGCTCCC